ACTAAGATGAAGGACTTCGTGGATGGTGAGGAAATAGAAAAATGATTATAATCTTCTGTTATCTGGAGTTGCCAGTGAAAGGAAAGAAAAAGATGGATTGGACCAGGAGAAAACTAATCATGCAGAGGAGAGAGAAGAAGATATAGAAAGAGAAACGGGGGTCATGGATGCCACAAGTTCTGTGAAAGAAGAGGAGACTGTAGGATCATACAGCTGGGTTCCTCTGAGACAAGAGAAAAGGAATGGTGAATGAGAAAATTTGAAGAAATTCTCCAGTGGTGAGAGGGATGTGAATGATGTGAAGGAGTAATGCATTTCAAAGTGTGCTTCTTGACAATGTTGATTCTAAGGCCCGGCCCTGGAATCCCACGCAGGCAACAGTTTCACCACGTCTCTAGAGCAAAGTTTTGTGGCGGGAAAGAGTAAATCAAGGGTTCCTGACTTCTCTGTGATAACAGAAGAGATTGTGGGCAATTAAGTGGAAGTTGGGGTCTTAAAGAACATGGGAAAGGTCTAGAAAGTCAGTTTGAGAAATTTCTTAAGAAGTCCGGGAAAGATGAAGGACACTGAGTCAAGGGGAAGTGCCCTGCCTTCAGGGAATTGGCAATCTAGCCTTGACGGGTGAGCCTTAGCTACTCAATATTATCCACATGTGGCTATTGAGCGCTTGAAATGTGGCTAGTTTGAATAGAAACGGGCTGTTAAGTGTAAAATATATACCAGCTTTCAAAGACTTAGTGTAAAAATTGTAAAATATCTCATTAACAATTTTAAATTGATTACATATTGAAATGATAATATTTTGGGCATATTGAAGTAAATAAAATACGTTAAAAATAACTTCACCTGTTTCTTTTTACTTTTTTATAATTTGTGACTACTAGAAAATTTTAAATTACATATTTTTTTCAGACAGCACCAAGTTAAACTGTAAATAGCAACAAACAATCTCAGTATTATTTAAGATAAAAGCCTGTTATCAGAAATACAATACAGATTGTAAAAACAGGAAGTGCTGCAAAGATTCAGAGGATACCATACATGACTTTAGAATACAGTGCTTGGGCCAGACTTTTGCTACTTACTCTGCTGATCCCTTAAACCCATACTCAGGGCTTAGTTGAAATGTTATACCAGTTGCCATCAAGTCGATTCTGACTCATAGTAACCCCATGTGTGTCAGAGTAGAACTGTGCTCCTTAGGGTTTTCAATGGCTGACTTTTCGGAAGTAGATTGCCAGGCCTTTCTTCCAAGGCACCTCTAGGTGGACTTGAACCTCCAGCCTTTCAGTTAGCAGCTCAGTGTATTAACTGTTTGCACCACCCAGAAACTCCCTGAGTCACCTCAGTTTTATAAGTTTTTAGGGAGAATGCCTTACGTTTGTGTATCTTCAGGGTTTTGAAAACACTTGCACATTCATTATCTCATTTCACCTTCCCAACAACCTGGAAGGTAGACAGAGCAGGTTATACTGGTGAGGGATATGAGGCTCGAAGAGTCCATGTGATGTAAAAATAGTGGAATCAAAGATGCTACAGAACAGTGACTCATAGTGACCAAATCATCATGGGGTCTTAGAAAGAACATTGGACTTAGAATCAACATTCAGAAGATACAATACTTTCCAGACGGATAGCTTTAAAAATTATTAAACCTCTGAGTTTTATTTACCAAACTGTGAAATAGTACTTCTCTCAGAGGGTTGAAGTGTGTATTGAGTACAGTGGCGTCACTAGGGTGGTAAGGGGGTTGTAGACCACATTGGGTGGCACTGTTGGGGTGACACTAAAATGACTGTCTATAAAATTTTTGTGCAGTGTTTCAGCAGAAATTTATTATTTTTTATAAAAATATCCCCTGTAGTTAGTTATAACAACAAAAACATTTTTCATAAGCTTAGCTTACATGTATCAATATACCTACAAGGCTGAAACTCTATGCTAATTTACTTTTTGAACTTTCTGATGCCTTCCAGTTAGAGCTGTCATTACTACCCAATTACAATGACGCTTTGAATCGTGGTTTCGTTAAGCATGTGCTGTTGTTTTCATTGCTGCCAGTGTTTTTATAGTTGCTGATTTTGTCAAATTTTCTGGCATTTTAGCTAAAATACTGTGGTAGTTGGTATTTCTGAACCTATATTAATAACCTTTTTAGCATGAAGTAGTAATTAAAGAAAAGAAGGAGTGATATATGGGAATTACGATTTCTGAGTAACATCAGTACAAAAAAAATAACAGTGGATTCTGTATGGTCTAGTACTGGAGGAGGTCCATGGGGGAGTGACACCATGAGTTACTGTACTGTGTGACACCAACCCTAGTGACACTGACACAGTAATTCTCGAAAACACTCAATACTTAACATACACACACATAATGATGGGAGCCCTGGTGGTGCAGTAGTTAAGAGGTTGGCTGCTAACCAAAAGGTTAGCAGTTCGAATCCACCAGCTGCTCCTTGGAAACCCTATGGGGCAGTTGTACTCTGCTATAGGATCGCTATGAGTTGGAATTGACGGCAATGAACTTGTTTTTTTTTTTGGTTTATGAGTAATATGTTAGGGTGAACACCTAAGTGTAGCAAGGCTTTAGTACTTTTTAAGTATTCCAGCTCGCTCCTTGGAAACCCTATGGGGCAGTTGTACTCTGTCCTGTAGGGTCGCTACGAGTCGGAACCGACTCAACTGCACCTAACAACAAGCCCAAGAGTTGATCCTTCTAAATGCTTCCTGAAACACTGCTATGTAGATCCCCTTTGTTGATAATAGTTTTCTTTTAGAATTTGCAGGCGTAAATGACAGGATTTAGAAAACTATAAATAAATACACCTTATTTTATAATTGAGGAAATGGAAGCTGTTAAGATAAATTATCTAACACTTGGAAATAAGGCACAAATGTAGATGGTATGTCCTTTCAATGACATATGGGAGTGAAGGCTGCCTATGGGGTTTACATTAACTTTACCTGAAGAGTTTGGTCTTTGTCCTTGGTTCTTGAGAGCGAGCCTCTAAAACCTTGGAATTTCTGGTGATTGAAGTATCTTTGCTGAGGCCTCCAGACCGCACCTGAAGTATGCTAATACAGTGACTCAGGTGGGGGCTGGCTAAGCCAGAAAGACCACCTTATGATACCAGTTGACTTCAGGGGAGGTGGGCTCATTCAATCAATCATGACTGTTTAATGAGGCCCCAGTAGAGGCTGTGGATACTGAAGCTCCCTGGACTTTCTGGTTGGTGAAAGACACTTGACGCACAAGGTAGCACGTTCCTTTTCGGGACTTGGAAGCTTTGCGCTGGGAACTCTACCAGACCTTGCCGTATGGGTCTCTTTATTTGAATCCTTTTGCTGTAGTAAAACTGTAATCCTAAGTATAGCTCTTTCCGTGAATTGTGAGTCATTCTACTGAATAATCAAACCCGTGGGAGTAGTGGGAGCCAGCGGGTCAGAAATGAGGGGGCTGGGGACCGCTGAGTTTAGGGCTGGTATCCTAAGAGAGTAAAGGGAACCATGGAATTTACATCCAGCAAGTCAGAAGTGAGGGTGTCGTATAGACTTCGGAGTTTGTGGCTTGCATCGGAGGTCTTGGGCAGTCCAGAGGACTGAGCCCCTTAATTGTGAGATCTGACCTAGCACCAGGTGATTAGAGTCAGAAGAAGAAGTGCTGCATGTGTAGCTGGTGCCAGAACAGAGGTGGAACAGAACTGATAATCGATTTGGATTGATAAACACAGTTTAGTGTCTGACAAGTGGGAATTTGATTTTCCTCGTCACTACTCCAGGATTATCCAGAATAATATACTTTGACTTGCTGCTTATTCTTGATTAAAGGTTCCAGACTTGGTGATGATGCATGTTAACTTACAGACTTTGGTCGTTTGTACTACAAAAGACTCTACAATTCACTTAGCCTGCTTGCTTTGTAGAAAATTGTACATAGAGGTGCGAATAATTTCTGTCCGATGGAACAGACAATCCCAAAGGTTATGATTTAACCAGTTTTGTATCTCACCCAGCAGTCTTATTCTCCTACAAATAAATGCTCTAGCTCTACAAATGGTCATGGCATTTTACTAATTCCCTCGTTATTTAAGAGTTGAATGAAATCTTTACCATGTAGTTTTATTATTCCCAAAGGATTCCAACCAGGTATGATTTTTTTTCTCAAGCAGAAAAATACCTGTTACAAATTTCCTTCTGGGTTATCGCTTGATTGTTAATTGAGATTGTCAAAACCTGCTTTTGTTGTTCATAGTTCTCTTCCTCTATGAGGCTTTCCCTGAGCTCTCAACACTGGGCTGAGAGGCTGCCATTGACTCTACAAAAGTAGCACACCATTCCCCTAATAAATGAGCTGGTGCTGATGGATGGAAGACTTTATGTGTTACAGGTGATACTTGGAAACATCAAAGGTAAAATTAAAATTTGCTCATGAGACTTTCTTCCTTTTACATACTCATTGCTTTGTTTGGAACATTTTTGTAACTAAGTTGGCTGAACCAGAAAGGCTGTTTTTTATAATTCTGCTAATGCTTTTTCAACTATGAATTCATCTATGAATGGTTACTTCAAAGAAAAATAAACTGCTATGTACCCTTTGTGAAAATAAGTGATTCATCATGTACGTATTTATAAAATTTTGTTTAGGACATAGGTTTTTTTACCTTTAATTTTCAGAACTAAACTAGAGTCATGTAAATAACAAAATATCCAAATTATGTTAGTCACAAGAATGGCTAAAAAGAAAGGGCCCACAAATCAAGACCAAACCTAAACCAAACCCATTGCCGCCGAATCAATTCCGACTCACAGTGGCCCTCTAGGACAGAGTAGAACTGCCCCATAGGGTTTCCAAGGCTGTAAATCTTTATGGAAGCAGACTGCCATATCTTTCTTCCACAAAGTGGCTGGTGGGTTCAAACCACCGAACAATCTAGTCAGTAGCTGTTTAATAAAATGCACAGAACCCCAGTATAATAATGGCTCTTTATTACATGGATTCAGATACACAGTAGACCAATCATTTCCCTGCAATTTTACAGTCACATTCAATAAAAGCTTGTTAGTGTTGTCCTTTGAATTCCCTTTACAAAGCCTTGCACAAAGAAGAGTTTAAGCACCAGTAAGACTGTTGCTAGCAGTAGTTTTATTTCATCATTGTCAACATCATTATAAACAAAAAACATGCATCTTCTTCCTCCTACGTGCATGGCGTTGTAAAACGAGTGCTACACTCTGCTTTGTGGTACAAAGTTTATAAATACAATATACCAATACAAAGTTGAAGCCATTAAAAAGAGCTTAATAACAACTCCTATGAGATAATTAAGTCTGGAGTGTTGATGGAATCTGTGAAGAGATTTAGAAACAACACACAAACTCAAACATAGTAAACATTTTACTTGGGAAAGGAAGGGAACTTTTTATGTGCTACTGAAGGATTTTCTAAGTTGTGCCAAGTTTACTTTCTTTCTGCGATTATCTTTAAATACTGCAAAGCATTGTGAGCTGCGTCGCTTTGTGCATTGCCACAGGAGATCCCAGAGCCATGACAGACTGTGATGGGACTAGTTGACAATTCAGCCAGACACTGATACTGTCCATTGGCACTCAGTTCTTCTGTAATGACATATGCAAACATGATGGTTAATGCCAAGCATGTATAAAGTAGATCCTTTGTGAAAACAATGCGGTTTTTATTATTATCTTTCTTGGTAAGCATCCATGGTATACTCTCCACTTAACAGCTTTGTCATGCTTGTACAAACAAAAAACAGTACTACTCCATTTACTCAACAGCATTGTCATTGCTTGTGAAACAAAAAACAGAACACAACTGCCTAACTATACCAGTAGTTCTCAAACATAGCTGTGCTTTATAATCACTTGAGGGATTTTAAATAAATACAGGTGCCCAAACCTCACTCCAGCCTGCTCAGTCTGAAACACAGGGCTGGGGGTCAGAGGTGGCCAGAATCTTATATTTACTTAAAAAAAGCTCCCAAGGCAGATCCAATATGGTTATTTGAAAGCATTTGCAAATTACCGAACCATAGGAACTTCCTTAAATAGAAAAAAAAACCATTTGCTAGAGGGGTGGAAAGACTGTATTTTCCACTATGAAATCTAGGTATGTTTTCAGTAGGCATTTGAACCAGGAAGTACCTGGTTGAGGGCAAGACCTCCCTTGTGTCTTCATGTTCTTATAGTATAAGTCTGTGCAGAAGCTAGTTCTATATTGTGAATGGGTTGGGATGTTTTAAAAAACAGTAATACCTGAACCCAGGTAACAAATGTTCTTCTGATCAACTGATAGGTCACTCTAAGGATGGTTGAAATGAGGCAAGCGGAAGAAATAGAAGCAGGAAGGGTATGATTTGTTCAAAGTGGTCATGATTGATGTTATTATTTCAACTAGAGTCAATTTAGTGGAAAATATCCACAACAATGGGATAATTTAATAAGTGAAGAGGCTTTCTAGTTCTTGCATCTAGGTTCTTTTGAAGGTAACTGCATAGAAGCTAGCCTCCTTACTAGATTAATAGACTGTGGTTGTTAGACTGCTGTTCTATATTTACAGGAATTAGTTCGTAAAATTGGCAAGAAGCATTTCAAAAGCATTATTCATAATCTAAAAAATCATCTAAGTTTCCTTCTTTTACCATGAACAACTATGGCTTCAGTATCTTCCATAGTCCAATAACAACAACAAAAACCAAACAACAACCAAAAACCAATTAACCAGCTTTATAAACTAAACTAAAATAAAATCCAAACTGACTTGATTTCCAATCTGTTCACCGTTTGTCTATCTAAATGAATAACGGCAAGAGAAAGTATAGAAGATGGTGGATGATGGCTGACATGGGGAAAAGCTATAAATTGACTTGTCTCCGTTTTTATTCTCCTAGATTTGGCAAACAGTGACAAAGTGGAGAGAAGAGGTTTGGCCTCCACAAACTTGGTACTTACTTGTTCTAGGGTTCTTTCCCATTTGCCAAGCTGTGCATTAGGGCTAGTTTAACAGTGTATCACCCAGGACTCTTCCTTTAATTTAACTCTACCATAGCTACTACACTGACTAGCTATGTGATCTTGGGCAAGTTTCCCAACCTTTCTCTGCCTTATTTTCTTCACTTATAGAACCTACTTAATAGGGTTAGTTTGAAGACTCAATAAGTTGATATATGTTAGGTCCTTAGAACAGTGCCTGGCACATAGTAAACTCTATAAATCTTAGCTATTGTTGTTTTTGTTACTATTATGGTATAGATGTTAGCTATTATTACTATTTACAAGACTGGGACATCAATCATATATATTACTGCTCTGGTAATTATATATAGTTAGAATTCCTGATCAAAGAAATAAATTAGAATAGAAATTTTTGAATCTTAAACACATTTTAAAAAGCAACATTTCTTAAGATAAGCCAAAGATAACAAATCATACCTATATCCAAATATGTTATATTAAAACCTTGTTCCTTGGCAATTTCACTAAGCAACTGGATATAATCCATGTTTGGAATACTGAGGAGGCTTCTTTTCAGTAAGTTGATCTTTTCACCAGGAGAATTTCTCAAGGAATGCCAAGTACATCCTAAAGAATGTCCTACTACATTTGTCTGCAAAACACAGATGAAGACTTACACTCTTAACTAGCACTAGGTTCCAACACTATTATAATTAAAAGTATTTATTAAACACTCACATATAATACTTTATAAAGCATGTCTAAATGGATACCATTTGGTTAAATTTCCAATTTAAACTAGACAACATTAAAAAGGATACACATTTAACAAATACCACAGTATTTTTTTTAAAAAATGAAGCACTTGGAATAATATACTGGAAGTATTTTAAAACACTTTCGTATAATACAAAGGTCTCTCAGTCAAATTTTCTGATAGTCACATTAAGAGGTACAAGATACTTAAAATCATCATAAGCAAATCTGCAAACTATTAAATCTGCCTAATTGAGCAATTTACAAATAAAAATATGAAACAATTTTGATATCTTTATAGTTTCTTGTATTAAATACCAATCACTAACCAACAGCTGTAAAGCAGAAAACAAACTGTAGAAAGGTGAAATGTGTAAGTTGGGTTTGAGAAGAGCAAGTATATATTATCGTTCAAATGAATGGCAGCGATGTCAAGAAGGTCTTATCAAAGAGAGAGCTGCTCTGAGAAAGTACCGTCACTTTGAAGGCAAAAATGGCACTATTGCTCTAACATTTTTAGATCTTACTCCAAGTCCTCTCACCTGGTCACCCCCCTGTGACCCTGACTGACATGTAGGAGTCAGCTAAAATTGGAGTAGTGTATAACTGAACAATGAAGAGATTTTTAAAAATTGCAACTCTGAAGGATCTGTACAACAAGAAATCCAGAAAAGTTCCCTACAGCAAAAGATGCTTAATTACATCAACATCATAACTGTCTGAGCATTACTCACTAAAGAAATGTGGTTGTCCGGAGAAATATTACTGAATTTGGCAAGAAATTTCTCAGCAGCATTTCTCTTGGCTTGTTTTTTTGAAGCCCCCTTTCCTAAATAAAGAAAAAAGAAATGGTAGATGTTAGAAAAGAAGTTAGTGTTCATAGAGGATGGTTTAATGTTTAAAGTGTTGTGTTTAATCAGAGAATAACCTCATGGTTTTTACATACTATTCTTTTACTAACCTGGCATTTTTGCTTGTTGTGCTTCATATAGCTATTAATTCTTAAATTTTTCTTTAACAGTTCTTTTAAATAGTTATACTTTTTCTTTTTTTACAGTTATATTTCCCTATGCCTAGCTTTAATGAGCCACATTTAGCTTAATTCTGGCCAAATATTCAAAAATATCAAGGTATAATTGAATTACAACCCCTCTCTGTCATTGTCTATTTCTTGCTTACTATCTTTTATAAACTGACAACTTTGTGGAATTTCTTTCCTTAACACTACTAAGAAGGGCACAGGAGATGCTGGAATTGAAATACACCATAAATATCATTTACTTCATTGCGTTTGTTTAATGGATTAGAAACTGAGGTTCAGGGAGATTAAGAAATTTGCCTAACTTTACAAAGCTGGATTGCATCAAGAATGGAAGCCAAGATCCTGCTTTTGGCCCAGTGCTCTCTGCACTGGCCTGCACTACCTCTCACAGTCAAAAGTTACCTATTACTTGCAACTATCTAGCCAATGGTAAAATTCCTTTCCTAGGTCACTTTAAAATGGTAAAAACATGCTAAAGAATAAACATACAAATTCTCACTAGCACTTTTCTAAGCGACCGCTCCTTTTCAGTTTACGGCCTTTGCAACACCAAACCAAAAATACCAAACCTGCTGCCACCGAGTCGATTCTGATTCACAGCAACAGAGAAGTTTGTATAATTCAAAAGGACAGCGCCTACTTTCTTTTCATTTCACTGCTACTTTTCACCATCTAGTCTCTTATTAAGTCATCTTATTTTCAAA